TATTGCGGGAATGCCATCCGGACCCATTGCTTTGTTTGTATCCAGCTTTTTTAGGGATTTTCGTATTTCTCTGTGACAAAAGGGTACCTCTGGCATACTATGGGAAACCCTTTCAATGAACGGTGGAGTTTTTCCGTTTGGCACTGTTAGGTTGGAGTTGGAGGAAAACATTTGGGCATGCATATTGGCTTTTTCCTCTGATGTTGTGGCTAAGTGATTATTTTTATCTGTAAGTGGTGGTATGGATGACTTGGTGAAGTTAGATCCAACAGCTTTTGCAAGAGATCAAAAAGACCTAGAACTACTCGGACAATTCAGCAACCTGTTTTTTATTCTTTGATTGTATGTTTCTTTAGCGGAGTCAATAGTAATTTTGCAACTATTTCTGGCTTCTATAAATTCTGTGTGGTTTTTGAGCGGTTTGTTGTCGTTTCCAAAGGTTATATGCTCTGTGTTTTTTCTGTACAGCCGTTTGACACTGGCTGTTGAACCAAGGTTTTGCATTAGCTCTACGTTTAGTTGTATGTGGGATATATGCGTCCATTCCAGATAAGATTACTTGTGTTATTTCATTACAGCAAATAGTGGGATCAGCTGTTTTAAAGCAAACCTCTTGCCATGGAAAATCCAGGTAATACTGTTTTAGGTCATTCCATTTTGCCGATTTATAGTGCCACATTTTACGAGGAAGTGGTTGTAGGCTTGGTGGGATGAGCATTTCGCACTTTGTTATTATAAGTTTATGATCGGACGAACCAAGTGGAGCATCTACTTGAATTGTGTACGAGTCAGGATTGGTGGTTAGGAACAAGTCTAAAAGCGCTGCAAATTCGCCCCTTTCTGAGACACGGGTAGGTTCATCGACAAGCTGCGTTAGACCACAACTTATGGCAAAAGCTTCTGCTTCTCTGCCTTCGTTATCTGTTTTGTTGTGGTGTTTCAGCCAGGGTATATTGTGGACGTTGAAATCGCCTAAAAAGACAATTTCCGCCTGTGGATAGTTTGACTGTATACTATCACAGCTTTCGGATAATGTCGCGAAAAAGTTTTGGTAATCGGTGTTACTTGGCGGTCGGTAGAGGCAGCAGATAAACTTGGTCGATGACTTTGAGGTGAATTTTAGCCATATGATGAGGGCTTCGAAGAGCTTGTCCCGCTTTCAAAATAATTAATGTGTCAGATATTGAAAGCTCACGTTGAATTCTGGCTACGTCATTCATCCACTCAACCATAGTAAACGGAGTGTCATCTGGATCAAAACTTGTCAAACGAATTTCCGACGATGCCACTGCAATAACGTCGGGTGCAGTCGTAGCAGAGGACTGATCCTGCGTCTTCGCATTTGCCACTGTCAATTGCAGTGCTGCTTCGGCTTGAGTAATTTGAGCGTTGGCCATTGTGGATAAAATCTGCATTATTTGATTTTGAAAATTGTTATTATTTTCTTGTTGCATTTGAAATAGCAACATCAATTGATTGTTCATTGATGCACTTTCACTGCCGCTGGTAATGGATGGGCTATTTGGGTGTTCACAATCGGATTGTTCACCGTCGGCGACTTCTGCCATTTTGATTTCAAATTAAAACGCGGATAAAACACACTGTTAAGGTTCTTTCCTCCTTTGATCACTACACAAAGAGGTATCCCACTTCTGATGTTGGATTTTGCTAGATTTTATTCTTTTTTACAACTTTTTTTTAACATGTGACATACAAATCTGTCTCTTTCAATACAATTGTTTTATTTATTCACTGTTACCAAGGATTTCGTTTGGTGCATGAAGAGTCTGTTCTGGATTTCCGTTCGGTACATAACGGGTGTGTTCCTCCAATGATACAGTATGACAGCAACACAATCTTCTGACTAAAGCTTTAGAATTACTCAAGCCAACATTTATAATAGATCACCCTGTACAACGGCTAAGCAATAGGCGTTTAACCCAGCATTACACTCGTCAAAAAACTTACGTCATTACACGCGTTCGGTCAAATCGACCGATTGCCCAAATATTCATATAAATGATTAGCTTTTTTCGCGGAGAAGATCCCAAAAGTATCCTGAACGCTAAGGCATGGTCTTCGAGGTTTACTAATAAATAAAGACATTTAACTTTCAAATAATACCTGCGTAGGTCATGCCCTAGCGTTCAGGATACGTTTGGGATCGTCTCCGCGAAAAAAGTGTAAAAGCACTATAGCTCCTAGAATTCATAGTAATATCGTATATCGACAACCAAAGGTACTCCCAATATCAGAAAATGCCCATTTTGAACACAAATATTTTAGATACCGCGGCTCACGCACCGACTATGAAAACATCGAACTATACTTCAACAAAAAACCAAAATATTTTTGGGCCAATGGGTAGTGGAAAACCTGCATCAGGTATTCCTCGACGGAGAAAACTGCCACCCTTGTACCAGTGGCGTAATTACTGATTTTATGAATGCTTGGTCCTTTTGACCGAGCCGCGTGTACTCCCAGGTTAAAGTCGAGCGCTGATTGGCTATTGCTAATACGGTGTACTTTATGCCTGCACCATTTAGGAAGAACGTACAACCGCTTAGCAATAGGCTTTTAAAGTTGAGCGCTGATGGCTATGGCTAATACGGTGTATCTTATGCCCGCACCGTTCAGGCAGAACGTACAAAAAATTAGCCATGGGCGTTTCGTACGGATTTGTATTTGCCTATAACTGAAATGGTCATTTGAAAAATGCCGTGATTATATTGAGGCATATACAGGGTGGGGCACGAAAAACTTCCCACTCAGGTTTTCTCAGGTGTTAAGTGATTAATTAAAAATCGCTCGGAGACGGCAATTTTTGTTTTTTGGGGAACACATTTCATTTTATTGGTATTTTCACCCCCTACCGGTCAACCCCTAAGTGAGGGTGACAGGTAGGTACCCCCAAAATTTCAAATGAAAAGGGGGGTCGAGTGATACGTTATTTGATAGCTATTTTCATTAAGATAATATCCCCGAAGTTTTAAGTTGCTACTACCTATTTACCCTGTCGGAATGGCGGCTTGTCAAAATCATCTAAAGTCTGTTTTTTTTTTTAAAGATAATTCCCCAAGTCAAAAATTTAGTAACTATGTTGGCAACACAAGCCTTTTCTACATAAAAAATTTGAAAGCATTGACAGTTTTACATTGTATTGCCAACATAATGTCAGTTTGACTTTTATCTTTAAAAAAAAAACACACTTTAGGAAAAATCAAAGGAAAAATGCTGTGTGGTTTTTACCTGTTACCTACGCATAGGTGTGACAGGTTAAAACTATACAGTTTAGATAGCATTTATCCTAACTTTGATATGCCGCCATTTCGACAGGGGAAATAGTAGCAACTTAAAACTTCGGAGATACAATCATAATGAAAATAGCTACTAAATCACATATCACTCGACCCCTCTTTCCATTTAAAATTTTGGGGGAACCTGTTACCCCCACTTAGGGGTTGACAGGTTGGGGGTGAAAATACCAATAAAATGTGTCCTCCAAGAAACAAAAATTGACGTGTCTGAGCGATTTTTGATTAAACACCTAACACCTGAGAAACTCTGGGTGGGAATTTTTTCGTGCCCCACCCTGTATAGAAACAGCATCATTTACAAGTGAGTGTTGAATCCATCAAGCAAATTGGATCAATAATAATCAAGAAAATGCAGACTTACCCAAAATAACCCGTCCTAGTGCTATTTAGTCCTCGTGAGTTAGCATTTTATTTGAAACACAAAGCACGCTTGAGGGACGGTATGCACTAAACTAAAAAAAAAAAATTAAATAAAATTGTAACTTACGAGGACTAGATCGCATTTTAGGCGGACCGATTAGTTTGGGTAAATCTGTATTTTTTTGATTATTATCAGACGGGTAAAACCATAGAGAAACAGACCAAAAAGACAGTAGCGAATTAAACGAGAGAGATCGGCACCGCATTCCTTTATGCCTGTAGCGCAACGCAGACGTCGCAAAGTTGTTCCTTTATTTATCGCGTCGGGATTCGACCTACGTGCTCGTTTCCATCTCATTCTAGCAACATTGAAGCACTACAGAAGAAGAAGAACGAAACAGAACAGTAGATACTTCCATATTAACTGACATGTTGTTTACGTAGATAAACATAACCTCGGTTGACTTCTAGGACAAATATTGAAAAAAATAATTTTCTATTTTTCCATTAATTATCAATTCAACAATTGTAATATAAGAAATGTAAACAAAGGGCTTCCGAGAGCTCTCATATGTGTGTCAGGTCAGTGTTGTATTTTTTTATATTGCATAAATAATTACATTATACTTATTACTTGTTTTATTTTTAATATTGTTAGACTGGGGATAGTTCAATGTTTTCGTTTTCTATCACACATTTTTGGTATTTGGAGAGTTATTTATTATTTATTTCATTTTTGCTTGAAAAATGCCGCTAATAATTTTTTCAATAAAACTAGCTTGTAGAATTAGGTATTGTTTTTTTTTTCCCTAAAAATTTCCATTAAAACCGAATAATCTTCAGTACCAATTTAAATTTCCCGCCATGCGTCCCACAAGTTTATTTCATCCTGTAGCTCACGGAGGCGCTACAAGCATACAGCGATGCCGATCTCTCTCGTTTAATTCGCTACTCTCTTTTTGGTCTGTTTCTCTATGGGTAAAACCAACAAAACATGCCTTTGACGTTCTGAGGTGGGTGATTTTTTAAAATTATTTTCAGCCAAACTTCTTCCTCGTTTCGGTCTCACTTTTCCAATCATCAATTCCCTCGGCAATAGCGTCTCAGCGCTAGGCTTTAAAAGCTTATTGCTAACTTGCTGAACGCTTTGCCTCAATGGACAATGGTGCGGGCAAAAGCTACACCGTAATAACAGCAGCCAATCAGCGTCTTTGAACGCCTATTGCTAAACCGTGGTAGGTTCTGCCTATATGTGTTCCAGTCCCCCATTAACTCAATTACCTAGTTACAGTAACGAAAAAAATAATTTAAAATAAATTCTAGATAAGGTTCTTTGCAAGTGACAACCTCGTCCATATTCTGAACACATGGAGCTCGGCTCAGCAATCAATAAGTCACGTAAGTCACTACGATCTTAATTATTCCCAATTTATCATCAATAAATTTAGATTATGAATGGATGTGCTGTGGTTGGAGCCCCACCCTCATCATCTTCGATAAGCCCGTCTCCAGATTATACAGTATTACATGGTTTAAGGGCTGCTATAGAAGGCATGTGTGAGCCCACAGAATTTCAAATTGAAAAAATTAAAACTGGTAGGGGAAAACTACTCAATAAATGTAGAGTTATTTGTATAACCTCTGCCAGAGATAATAAAAGTATGAAGAGATTGGAAGAAATTTTTTTGACAGTGTTAAATCAGCAAAATAAAGTTGTATCTGGCAATGATACTTTACTACGAATAAGCCATTGCCATCTGATTATTATTAATACTTTTCCAATAAATAATATGGAATCCTCGGTGAACGGTCATCCGGCGAAACGTCTATCGGCAATCTTGACAACAGAAGTCCATTCAATCAAAGCTCCTCAAATCCCCAATAAATTGACATCGTTGATTTTGGAACATTACGATTTGGCTAGTACTACTGTTACATGTATTCCAATGAAAGAAGATCCAAACGCAAGCTCTTCGGCTTATTATGATGTTGAAATGTTTCACTCTAGTACAGCTCATGTGCCTATTTTGAAAGGGAATCCTTTGGATTCTGCAGCTATTAGAGCCATCAAAGAAGGGTTGGAATATGAAACGGTAAGAATTTAATTGTTTTTCTTATTTTTGCTTTTAAGAGACCTTGTTTTATTAATTTAAAAATTCGACTATTTTCAAAGGGTCGGACCGAAATTGCATTAGTATATGTATATGTTTGAGTGAATATGCATTTTCTTCCTTGTGCCTAATACCTTCGGACTAAGACAGAAATAAGAAAATGACAATAACTTAGCAGGACACACAAAACCATAAACATTCAATTCAATAAAATCATAACAAAAACATTCCATGTAAAAAAATGGCCAAGTCGGCGGAAATACTTATCCTCAAAAAGAAGTGAAATCAAAGTCATTGTAAGTTCTTCAATACGCATTCGAAAATAAAATGGTGGCTTTATTTATTCCAAAATGTTTCAAACTTAGCGAGTACCTACCTACAGTCAAAATACCTATTGATAGGGTTATTGTTCTAAATTGGGTTTAAATTTAGCTGTATTTTCGCGTACTTGGCACTTGGCCATTCTTTCACATGAGATGTTTTTGTCATGATATATGTACTCTGTGTCTAAGATTATAGTTGCGATTTGCTTATAGTTGCCACTCCACTAAATAAATTGTGGATATATGCAGCCACTTTTAAGATTTATAATAATTAAATAATTTAAAGAGGGTCATTACTTTGGAAAACTTTATTCAACTTTATATTATGTAAATACATGAGAAATGAAATAAGTTAATGAACAATAACAATTGAATTTAGAAGAAAGGAACTTTTTGACTTTAGGTACTCGCCAAGTTTGAAACATTTTAGAATAAATAAAGCCACCATTTTATTTTCGATTGCGTATTGAAGAACTTGGCTTGACTTTGATTTCACTTCTTTTTGGGGATAAGTATTTTCGCGGACTTGGCCATTTTTTTACATGGAATATTTTTGTTATGATTTCACTAATTTTTTTAAGGATTTCAATAGGATTAATGTCATAATTCAACTTTTTTTTTGGCGCATTAGGTCTTTTTCTTTTTGCTACTGGTTTCCCATCGCCTTCTTGAACTTCTAAAACTTGCTTTCGTGAAGCCCACTCTCGATCATTGTTCCTATGCTTCCTATTCGGTCCTTTTTGAGTATCAATTTGCGGAAAATCAGGACGATATAATGACCTTAATCAGTTGTATTCAGCAATTGCGGACACTTGCGCTTCAATGTTATTAGTATCTAGGTTTATTAGATGAACTCCTAAACTTGAAACTTAGGAAATCGCCACATATGCCTGGCCGCATGAAAACACCGATAAACCTATATCAATAAGTGCATAAGGAAGACTTTAGCCTTGGCTTTTGAGAATGTTGATAGCATATGCAATAATATACAAATTGGAAATTGTCTCTGTGGACGCATGCACGACCATAGGCGCCGCCAGGATTAGTTTCAGGAAGGTGCATACGGACAGTGGCGGCGCGTGGATTGTTATATTGGTTCAAATTACTACGAACATTTTTCCGGGCGCCACGCCCAAAAACGGTTAAATGGAAACATTATTTTTCTAGGTGATTAAGTACCTGAATTACATGATGTTTTCACCACGGTGGAAAGTGGCACGGGCAGTGGCGGATCTAGATACGAGAGACGGGTGGCCCTCAGGGCAAAATATATTTGGGGGCCCCTAGGCCTAACCTATCCGCTGAGCAGTGGTGTACCCAGAAAATATGTCTGGGGAAAGAGGGGACCCCATAGAGAAATATAATAAACCAAGGTAAGAGTACCTGATTGATAACATGAAAGTTTGTATAGCGCTGGCGTCACAGCGACGGTGGCGACAATAGTGGCAGCCGGAACAAATACTGAAATGGCGGGAATTTTGAAATTTGACTTGAGTTGATTGCACAAAAGACTTACTTATGTTGTTCCACATCTTTTTTTCTCAAATCCGAATGAGAAAAATGATGTGGTACTCCATAAAGTTTTGTGCCATTTTTTGATGTAGATTGAAAAAAAAAAGGCAAAATAAACACTAAAATTGTACTAGAAAAAATATATATTATAGCTAGATAGGTCAAATACCTAAAGAGTTTACAAACACAGTTATTACATCCCTTATACATGCTTTAATGTATGTACAAGCTAAGCTGGCCAAGGCCTAACATCTACATTTTATCTCTTCTGACTGAGGTCTCCTAAAACAGTAAAAAAATATGCCGTATATCACAAAACTAACATGTATACTTACTGGTTCAGTTTATCCTAGTTGTACATAATATTATAGGTACGCGATACCGAGTGCCTTAATAAAAATAACAATTTCTTCTACTTGTTCTTTAGATTTTGTGAGTTCGAGTCTTCTTAGACGACCGCCCAATCGGTTAAAAATGACAGATTTCAACACGGAAATGTCGTTATTTTAAGGTTACTTATTTGTTTTCTCGGTCACAGTTTCTATAGTTATGGATGCTTGATAGGTTTCTACAAAACAGCTAGGAAAGCTCTGTAACTCATACGGTGCCCTTGTCTTGTGAATTGGTATGACAGAGAAAGATGAAACAGAATCGAATGATCGGACTGATCTTTCGTTTGTCTCTAGCTTTCCAAAAATTCCGCAATGCGCTATGCGCAACCGGATGCGCAGTAATAGTATAACCTATTTCGGCTATACTTTTGAAGGTCTTTTTATTTTTTATTGTCTATGGGGGACCCTACAAAACTTGTGACTTGTGTATAAAAACCTAAATGAAAAATTGACGCAATTGACGTGTCAGGGTGACACGCCATGATGTCAAATTTTTTTGTACGTAAAAATACAGTTTTGGACGGGTGGCCTGAGAGGGGCCTTGACCCATGCCCCCCCTGGGTGCGCCACTGCTCTTGAATGTCACGTAAAAAGTAAGAAAATAAAAATGCGGCCTAGAGATACTGGTAATCAAATCACAATATACGGACTGTTGGCTCTGTCTGTTGGAATTATGGTCGGATATATTCGGAATACTTCGGAAGCACGCTCAGCGTTGCCAGATGCTCTCAAGCACAGAAACAATTATTAGGCATGGGCGGTATGGTAAATGATATTTTAGAATATAGGAATTGAGTCCTTATTGAATATAGCCTAATTAAAATGTTAAAGTGTTGTTTCGCATGTATGAAATTTTTTTCTACATATTCGAAATTTTCCGCAGCATCTTGGGGCTCTTTTGGACCGTGGGCCCTTGGACGGCGCACCGAACTGCCCGGTGATATGTCCGCTGCTGGGCCCGGGCTTCTCGCAATTTAATACTTTTTTCGGGCTATCAAATCGTAGACGTCAAAGAAATGTATATCAATAAACTAGAATTTGAGTAAATTTGAAATTCCCGCCATTCTACAGGTTGATGGCGCGGGAAATAAAAATAAAATAACCCGATCCGAGCCGGAAGTGAGCCGAGGAATGTCGCGGGGCACAAAGAGTGCGAGGGGGCCATCGTTTCTCGTTTTGCCTATTTTTCAAACAGTAACTATTGAAAAAAAAATAATAATAGAATAAAAATAATGTTTTCAATGTATTTCTGACAGGGGGGTGCAAGTGCACCCCCTTGCACCCTGCTGCCGGCGCCCATGCGCACGACTAATAATCTCAAATTTGGAGAAATTTCATAATGAAGTCCATTGTTAAATTTTGTTTCAAGAGCTTTGACCAGAGAACCATTTACCAGACCCAACCTATCATCTATATTTGGCTTTAACATAATTCTAACTCCTTGTTTGAGTACAATACTTCCTTCTAATCCCGCTGTCATTGAGTCGTCCTCTTTATGTTTTTTAAGCGCTTCACAGGCTCTTTTTAGAAGAAATTTTGGAAAGTTCAAGTTATCTGATGCGATGAGTTCAACATATGGACTAGGAAGAACTTCGAGCATTACACATACTGTGTATTTAAGAGAAGAGTCTGGGGAGCAGGCATACGGAACTACGAAGGATGCAGAACGATATTCCGCGTGTGGCTAAATTCACTAAAATGTTGCACCGATCTTAATGGGCTCGTTTAGGATCGGCTAAAATACGCACACATAGCTTGCATATACGCACTGTTTTTGGAGCAAATGGTGCCAGGTTCGATTCTCGTTGAAAGCAATCTTTTTTTTTTTTCAAGTTTTCTTTTTTCTTATGGTTTTTATTTTTCTTCTTAAGAATATTAAGAGGACGGGTTAGTTTGGATTAGCTTGACTTAAAAGCGGTGAGCGTTTTCGAGAACGAGAATACCGGCCCTGAAATGTTTCGAGAAAAGGTATATAGTAGTGCGCGAACTTAGCGGAGGGCGCTACCGTGCCCACAGATAACAAAAAAATATGATTTTATTATGGCCATGCCTTCATTTTTGTCGTCTTTTTCAATCAATAGCCACTGATAGTTCAAATTTTGACTATTACCGGCTTTTGATTGGCTGCAAAATTTTCCCAGAAGTATTCAAGTGCCTGTAATAATCAAATTTTTGTTTATCCCAGGCGTTTGAATGGCTGGAATGGAAAGTGGAAATCTTTTTTAGAAACAAACAAAACCCTGTAATAATTCCAATATTGATTCTTGATCTTATAATTTGTCTCAAGCAGATCAACGGCGATCAATAGTTCAAATTATTATTTTTACTAGATCTTGAGTTTAAGGATGATCTGTCTAGGTAATCAATAGCCACTAATGGTTTAAATTTTGATTATTACCGGCTTTTGATTAGCTGCAAAACTTTCCTAGAAGTAATTAAGTGTCTGTAATAGACAAATTTTCGTTTATTACGGGCGTTTGATTGGCTGGAATTTTTTTTCTAGGAACAAACAAAACCCTGTAATAATTCGAATGTTGATTCTTCATCTTATAATTTATCTAAAGCAGATCAACGTCGATCAATAGTTCAAATTATGATTTTTACTGAATCTTGAGTTCCAGGATGGTCTTTCTAGAGCTAATCAATAGCCACTGATAACTGATAGTAGTTCAAATTTTGATTATTACCGGCTTTTGACTGGCTGCAGCATTTTCCTAGAAGTATTGAAGTGCCTGTATTAATCAAATTTTTGTTT